CAGGATGTCATATACAGGATGTCATATACTGGATGTCATATACAGGAGTGATAACTCAGATACATCAAGTTCATCTACTTGAGAAGGGCACTGTGGATGCTGAAGCCAGATAGGCTTTGATTGTTTACAAAATGAACCATTTCTGTGGCGGCTGCTAACACTGAAGAAGGATGAGAAACTGAAAACTAAAAAAAGTTCTCAACAGCAGGATTCCAAGCTCACTGTACACTTAACCCATATTTTCTGCCACCTCTGAGCCTGCTGTTAGTTTATCCCTTCCTTTCCATAAAAAAGCAGCCCTCCCCCCACATGCCCAGACAGGGTCTTAGTACCCCGACTGGCTTTAAACTTACTATATAGTCAATGATGACCTTGAACTTCTGACCCTCCTGTCTCCACCTCTGTATGGAGATTGCAGATGTGCATAGCTCTGTCTGGTACACGATCTCCTGGTGCTGGGGAACATACCTGGGGCTTCCAGCATCCTGGGTAAGCACTCTGCCGATTTAGCTGCAACCTGAGCCTGCTGTTCAATAAGGGTAGGGGCTTATGCACTCTGGAGGGCTCAGCTTTAGACTTTGTCAGCCAGGTATCCGTGGCAACACTACTTAAACCCCTCTAGGTATTCCAGACACTTGCTTAATTGTAGTAACGCAAAAGAGAATGAACAACAAGCCATGCCCCCATAGACAGAATGGAAACCCTAGCAACTAAACCACAAACAGTGTCATGACATGTCACACTTGCTTTCTATTTGGATGTAAGAGTCGCTTGGAGATGATTGGAGGTTAAGGAGTGTGGTTCTGGGGCTGCCCACCTGTGTTGTGAGTGTGGCTGGCATGTGGATTTCTTGGGCTGCTCCTCCTTCTCTTTCCTAGTTCCAGTCACGGAGCCTTTAGGAAGGAAAGCTGGTCTAAGCCTGGCACCAAAGAGCCGCTGCGGACAAATGGGTCTAAGGTCTGGTTTTGGAACTGCTTGGTGGCAGCTGGGACTACAGTTGTGGGCTGTGAGATTGTGGTCTGCATCAGGTCAGCCTTTGGCTCCAACATGGTCCTCACAAGAAGGGCTCTTTAGAATCACAGTTTAAAAGGCTGACAGGGGTTGATGTGCTGAGATGTGACCACTTTGAGGGCAGGCCCCAATAAGAAGATCAAAGCGAGGAGAGAGGCTCCTCCTCCTTGCATAGAGCCTTGCACACTGTGGTTGCCACCCAGGGAGCTGGCAGACTGGGCTGCTCATCGATCCTGCTGACCCCTCTGTGTCAGTTTGTGGCATCACCCCTTTACTGGGGTGAAAATGACAGGCTCTCTATGGACATTTCATTATTGGAAATTGACCCCAGGGACACATACTTGCTCAGTTAGAATTCTACCACTGACTTCCCACGCCTAGAGGAGGTTTTACCAACTGAAAAGGAGGGAGTTGTTTCCTGATATGTCAGGTTTTCTTTAGAGCAAAGGCTTTTTGTTTTTTAAATAAATGCTTTTAAAATAATTTTTTCACTGGCTTATGAATCTAGTGACATCTGGAGTTTGTGAGTCATCTGTTTTATTCATTAATCTTCTATTTATCTTTATGGATGGTTTTTACAAACTAGATTTATTCTGAAATTTATTCTTAAATTTTGATTTGACTCATCTATAACGACATCTTTTTCTCACAGCTTTATTTTTTAGTAACTATGAGTAAAGTTCATCCAAAATAGTCACTGCCCAGTCCTTTTAAGTACATCCATGATGCCTCGGATAGTGAAATTAATTGGGTTTTTGTTTTGGTTCTAGATGAGTTGAACTTTAAAGGTTGATGTTTTCTCTTACAGTTGTTTAACTATCTTGTAATGTGTAGCTTGCATGCAAATACTGCCTAAAACAGTTGAATAATAGCTTTAGAAACTCTCATGACATTGATGGCTAAGCTCTTAATTTGGTCTGGAAAAACGTGTCTTCTCTTATGTGACGTGAGTGTTGATTTGTTAAATGAATGCACTTGACACATATCTATGCCTCATATCCCACTGCGAAGGTACATACATGTGCTATACACCACGCACATCATACACACCTCACATCCCCCCCAGCACACACACAACCAACACCACACATGAAAGTACAGCTCCACATCCCACATACTTACAAACACACATGTTATAACTAATTACCATGCACATACACACCATGTATCATATATGTACACATCTGTACATCCCACATACACAATCACAGATATACACAAATGCCGCATGCCATACATACACACTACATGCTGTGTTACATACATACCCTTATACATACATTGTATAGAGATATGCACATGCCATATACACACATACTTATACCACATATCATATACATATACACCACACACACGTATAGATATACACACGTCACATACTACACACAGACTCATCACATATACATCACATATACATGTGTCTTCCATTGCACATATGTGTGTATGTGTGTGTGTGTATGTGTGTATGCT